ATTGAGTTTATCCATTATACAACCTACTATTTAAATTTAAAACTCTATTTATTTGAGACATACGCCCAATTAATAAAATAATGCCATTCCCAACTGGCCATACTTTTTTATTTAAGAAATAACAGACAGTCTATATAAGTCCTTTCTTTCCTTTCGAATGTTCCATTTGAGAAATCTCCGCCCTTTAAACAAAACATACTGCGCATACATATATAGGTACATTAAAAAAAACTGAAACATCTATAAAAAATCAATTTATTTGTCGAAATTAACACAATAAAACTTGCCAAACTTTGTGGTCTGAAAATTTGTAAATTCTGCCCCTTTAATCTTCTTGCAGAAAAATGTTAATCAAAAACTTTCACATTGGAAAAAATAAAAAAAACTTTTACCAGTACTTACAACAACAACAAAAGCTATTAAAGGGAAACCAACTGCAAAATGTAGTTCTAAAGTGTAATACATACATCTAGACAGGATACACCATTTGTCAAGTCATTCATCAATCCGTCCATGCTGTTGCTGTCCATCAACCAGACCAGACCAATGCCACAACTTATAGTTCAGCTATTTCGATTTTATGAGTAACAAAAACAAATGAAACAGTGGCATTGAAAGCAGTTACTCTGTTCCAACGGCCGAATGAAATACGCATTTAAAGTTATGATGAACGCTCATAATTGCTGGTAAAAATAACCAACACTTGGGCAATTCAATTAAATCTATCGACAATTGTTAAACAATTTCCGTACGGACAACTTTGCAAAAATAACAAAAGATATATTTTTTTATTTTTCTGTTTCCCTTTTCACATGTATATCTCTACCATGCATGACGTTATCTTAATACCATAGCAGTAGTTGAAGAAACAGAAAAAATTGCAAGTCTTCAAAAAAGAAAAAAATCTTTGCATTTTTTCCATATTTGTCGTTCTGCAGACTGCATATCTAGAGAAACATACGATTTATAACCATGTTTTTTTATTGTTGAATTTTTTATGAAAGTTTCTGAAACTTCCTTAATAATATTTTATTAGTGTTTTTTTTTTATCAAATCTCCCCCTAATAGGTGCGACAATTGAAACGGAGAGATACAATAGAAAATTTTTAAGAGACATTTTATATTTGTTATTCATTTATTAGTGATATATGTAGAATAAAATGAAAATGATAATATATCGAAATGTATTTCAATTTTCAAACACATTCACTTGAATGTGGACATTTTATGACAACCTCATTTTGCCAGTTAGTAACAACCAAGTACCAACAAATGATGTCAAAATTCATTTAATTTCACAATTCCAAAATGTGTACAAATTGTATTCCATCTAACTCGAAATTAACAAAAAAAAAATGTTTCTTGTTAGGGTTATATTTAAAATTCTATAATTGAAATAAGAATCGCACAAACAACACAAAAAAAAACTAACTTTGACCACTATGGAGGCTGTCCAGGGGCAGTAATTCACTTTAAACAAATGAACACAGAATATAAAAACAAGAACCATATATTGAGATTGGAATACACAGGAACTACTTGAATATTATAGTTCATAGTTGTGGCCAGTTATGACTCCAACTTTATGTTGTGGCTGAGGCTGAGGCTGCAAAGCAAACGGGAATGGCAAAACTTTTCTCTGAACTTTTAATAAAACAATCGACAACAACTGCAGCAGCAGTAGTAGTGGCATCCGGAAAATAGTTAAACTTTTCTGTTGGATATTTTTAAATGTTGCCCTTCCACCACATTCTCCCAGCACCGTTGTTTTTATTTGCCAACATTAAGATGGCCCTGATGATAGCGCTGATAATGAAATAAAACTATATATATATTTTTTTTATTAATTTCATTACAAATTGTTGTCCTCTTGCCATAATTGAATAAAGTACAGTTTTGTGCTGGTGGTTGTTTGTTTGTTTGCAAGATTAAAGTCTACTTCACCACACACAAACGGGTAATGCTCAATATTATATAATAATGACTTCCGGGTGCAAAACTATTGATAATTCTATGAAATTTTTAATTATTGTTTAAATGCCAACCACTAACTTTCTAAGCCACATTTTTTATTTAGCATTTTATTGGATTTTTCATGGTTCTTAGAAGACGTTTAAAACCGCAAAAACCTCAATCAAATCAATTCACATTAGCCATGGATCACTGATATTTCGACCAGCCAGACAGACAAACATGTGCACACGCACGTGTATACATTTTATGTGAATCGACGCTGCACTTACTTTTAATTTTGAATCATGTCGGTGTGGTTAGTCTTAGTTAAAAGAACAAACGATTCGACTTTGTAAAATTTTAATTAAGAGTCTACTGTCTACTACAAATAACCACAAAAAAGAAACTGCAAACGTTGAGAATCAATAAAAAAACACAAATATATACATGCATAGACACACACAGAAGTATACATACGTATACAGTCATATAATGCACACACGTGTGTGATGGCTGACCTTTCGTGCAAAAGAAAATTGTAAATATATATTTTTTCAGTAGTATGAATGGAAAATTGAAAATTATATGACTGACCGGGACTGAAATTCAAATGCTATCCCGGATAAATAAAATTGCAGATCCAAATTTTTGGGTCATACTTGATCAATTGGTATCATACATTCATAGCAGAAATGGAGTCATTAGAGTTAGTAAGGCGGCATTATATTTCCTCATTTTGCTTTCTGCATCAGATGCAATGAAGATAACATTCGAAATGCTATTTTCCATAGTAAAGGCGGAGTTTCAGTGCAAATGTCCTATTAAGATTGATGTGTGGCCATTCAATTTTAATTAGAAATGAAACCACAGATTTGGTCTTTACTGAAAAATTAGACACTGGATTTTTGCACATGACGTTACTTCTATGCACATCATAGAGAAATTTGCAATAAGGCAAAAAAAAAAATGATCAGCACTTCTTAACAAGTGTCATCAGTAAATTCCAAGAAAGAACTGCAAAAACTGAAAACTCCAAACAAGTGTGAAATCAAATCATTACGTTAAATTGTCCAACAATAGCAGCAGGCCCCAAACTAAACAACTACAGCAAAAAACACAATGAAAAAAATTGTCAACGATATACTTTTCAAATAAAGTGACATAAATGCAAAAGTTTGAAAACTTGCCCATATTCTCACATACTTTAAAACTAAAGGTTTTGTACATCGAAAGCTACTGATGAAATTCTTTCGTACTCGTACAGTGACACACTTGGGCCAATACACCCAAAGTTGTGCTTTAGTTTTTGCCTTTGCTCGGATATGAGCCAGGGTAAAAGTTGTGCTGTTTTTCAAAGCAAAGAATAGTTGCCAACGATAGTTGTATAGGACGATTTGATGGTTGCAAGCAACATGTTTGCAATATCTACAGAAAAGAGTTCTATTGGCACACAAACACTGTGTATATATTTCGTTTTTTTTTTTTTTTGTGTTTCAGGCCAGTCTTTCAAATGGAATTCCCTACTTAAAGTTGTAAGGTCAAAAGTCTATCGTTGTATCATTACACATACTCAAATACTCATTACAGGCATGGTGTGTCCGGTAATGTGGGTAAAAAACTCAATGTGGCAGTTTTTTTTTCTTTTGATGACATGTTGGAGAAAAAGTTTAGGTACAGAACTGTGTTTTTATGGGAGTGTTTTAACTAGACATACATGTCATTAAATTGAGGCTGAGCTTATTGAAAACTCTTTAAAAGGCTTTCAATAAGAAGAAATATTTGATCTACACCCCAGTATATAATGTATATATATGATTTATCAAAGTAAATTTCTATGTCGAACTAGCCCTGTCCGTCTGTTTTTTTAGAAATCTGATAGAGCTCTCAATATTAAGCACAGTTAACGTAAGACATTTTAACTTCAGAATCTAATATTTAACTGTAAGTTATTTATTACTACTTTAGATATGTAGATGAAACAACTAATAAATGCGAGACTTTATAGAAATTGACCGAAATAACGGTTGTATTCTAAAGGTGATTTTGACGTTTTTGGTGTTCTTTTAAATTGGCAATGATTTTGTCATACGGAATTATTTGCTCAAAGAAATTATGCCCACCCGCCCTGGACGAACTTTTCATGGATGTGCCTTAAATTAGGCATTTTGGGAATCCAGGAAAATATGCCTTTAGTCAAATGTTTTGGTATATTGGTTTCTCATAGTATCAAGAATATACTCGCAGAATTTTTTCAATATATGGATATGTTTGACAGCTCAGAATTGTGTTACTTTATATAAGTAAGTTGTGTATTGTTATACCTTATTTTTTACAATTGATTGTACATACAATACCAAAACATTCACACGTACATTTCTGGCTGTTATCTTTGGCTTACATTCCAAAACATTTGTACTGAAAATCTTCACAGTTCTTTTTTTTCGAAAACGTCTTATTTCCATCAAGGCAGACGCTGCTGGTGTTTTGTAGATTTTTTCTCTAAATTTTGCCGCCATAAAACTTAGTTGACATTTTATAAAGTTTTTGCGATTTTCGTTACAGTTGTTTTTTGTCATTATATTGTGGGTGTCCTTACTACATTCCGTTTTGTCGGCATATTTGTGCAAAGCGTATCGTGTAAAGTAAGAATTTCACACATATATATTTTGACATATGATAAAGTAATTTTTATTGACTTCAATAGGTTTGAGATTAAAGATGTAAAGAGCAATATAAAGGGATGTGATGATTCAGTTTTTATACAGTAAGGATCCGATAGCATATAAAAAATTAATTTCTTTCCTCTCCAGAATGTAATTATGAATTATGACAGTTGTCTGTAATGTTTTCCATGTTGTACTTGGAAATTCTTAAGATAAACATAACATGAAATATATAAAGTACACTACTGTAACACAATGACTCCTGTTTTCTTATGAAAGCCAAAAAATATTTGCCGCCACATTAATGTATTGCATAATATGTAAATGAAATGAAACATAGCCAAATGCAACACGACCCTTCCTCTTTCCCTGAAACACACACACTCGCGCATGCATTTTGTACAGATGAAAGCACTGGGATTTGCATTACATTCAATGGATTGCTATGGGGATAGCTAACAAGGAAGCTAGTCTCTGCAATATGAATTGCAAAAAAGAGTAAAACGGGAACGAGAGTGGGTTTCTGGCATTGCCTTTCTTCAATGCCATGTGGGGTGTCGTGCCCGGTATTCAATTACATATGTAGATGCAACAAATATTTGTTGGTTTTAAAGTAGAAGGTTCTCCATAAGTCACAGCATTCATCCTTTTCTTCCCATTTTTATTCTTAAGCAATTCTTGATTCATTGTGTATGAATGAGATTTTAAGGATTTCTAGTTCTTAACCATAGCCGCCATCGTCGCAGCCGCAGTAACAGTCGTCGCCATACACACGTTCATTATTTTGTATTGCTGATTATTTTTGTATTATGGCGTTGTTGCCACAGATCCTTATCAGCTTAAATTCAAACAAAAGGCTAAGTATGCGCGATATGTAGGATGATATGTTGTCGTAGGGTAGGTGGGCATGCATGTAGGTACTCCTAATAATGGCTGCTCACAACATAAAACATGCAAAATGCGAAATGAAAAAAGGAGAGAAAAGGCAAAACATTGAAATCATAAAAACAACTCTCAAAAATGAATGCAGCAACCGATGTTGGGGTGAATTTGGCAGGGAGGTACTTTTCCAAAGAGACGTAAAGATATTCCCTGGCATTGTGCATAAACTAGAGATTATAACTTTTTCTGCTATGATGTTGTTCGTTGGCATCGAATGCATGACAAGTAGTCCTTGCGGTGGATGGGGGTAATGTTTTTAATGCCGTTTTTTTCTGAAAATATGGTTTGTGTTTGTCGACTTTTTCGTCATGCTCATCAGATGAATGGCATAACATGCAGCGGAATGCTGCCGACTGGGTAGGAGACATGGGGTGGGCGATTAAATTCCTTAGCTCTACAAAATGTATTTATGCCAGGATGATGACATAAGTGAAAAATGATAATCTTGCCACAACAACATGGGCAAAGCATAAAAATGAAACTACCAGCCAGCCAGCCAACCAACCACTGGGAACGTCTGTGGACGATCTGGCTGCTGTAATTCGTACCATGTTGTATCACCACTACGAGGACTAGAGCTATAAACCGCAATGAATGCCATCGACTGAAACAAAAACTCAGTGTGCTATGTGGAACCACAAAAGGGACTACTCTGCTCGGTGGGCAGGGTAGTGGTAAAGCGGCAAAGGCAGCAGTGTGCTTCGCAACTTGCCTATGGGGATTATGAAGAAACCAAACAACAGTGCAAGCATGGGACTAGGCCACCAACGGGTATAGGCTCTATATTGCGGTGGATTTTTATAGAGATTTTCTCTATAAAATCTCCGTCTGTTTTTTGTTTGTTTATAAACACCACACTCTCTTGTACGCCCACTAATAGTTCAGTGCCGTGGTAAATGTGTATTCGTGTTGGTGTGGCCTATATCTATTTCAAAGCTGTGCAGCCTGCCGCAGCAGTAATAATAGTGGTTAGGGGACATCTATGTATGTGGATGTTTCATTTGTACCCGCCACATACCAATGCAAGGTTTTTTGCTGATTTTTTTTTATTTCCTTGTATGAATAACCGTTTGGAAACCTATCGTGTCATGAGACAGAGACATACCTACGGTAAGCCGTGTTGTCACATTATATAAGCTCTATTCCCTGTTTTTTAATTTTCTTCACTTTTTCGCCTTTCTGTTGTTTTTGTTGGCCTTTACAAATGCTGGTTTCATTTACTGGTAGCATTGTGTGGACAAAAATCCAGATCGATATACAGTGATCCACATTGTGTGTAAATTGGCAACTGTGTATGCTATTGCAATATTATTTCTCAAGATCAATTAATTATTGAGTTAGTCCGTAAATATCTATGAGAACAAAGGTTAAATTTTTTATAATTCAAATATAAAATATGGTTTGTTATATTAACAATTTTGTATTTAAATATTAAATGCTTCTATAACCACTGTGCAGCAGAGAATTGTTGCTATCCTTTCTTTTGTGGTCATAATCCCGTTTAAAGTCCATGGGAGATAAAACTATTTTCTATTGTAAATATCAACAGCTCAGATAGAACGTAGAATTAACAAACATTTATACATGGAGCTACATGAATAAATAGACTGAGGGACAAAGTAAAACAAAACAAACAGATATACAAAACAATTCCTTGTAACCCCACAGTTAAGACCCACTAAAAAGACTCATTTTATTCCTATTGCTCCAAGCAAACAAGAGCTGTGTGTTTTTTTCTTGCTATGCCTCTTTTCTATGCCTGTCTTAGTATTTTGTTTTGTAGTTAAGTGCTGATAAATACCAGGAATTCGTGTTGAAATAAAAGCTATTTCAAAAATCTTTTCAGATTTCGAGCAGGACTCATCATATTAAGTTGTGACATATTATTCTGATGACATTGCCAAATACTACAACGTCAGTCCATTAAGCGAGCAATATTAATAAAAAAAAATGCCATAGCAACTCACGAAAACCAGTAAATGGAGAACGGCTCAAATGTACGCACTTGTTGTTAATACACACATTAGTTTACGTAAACGGTCAAACATTATTTGCTGGACGTTTGACTGTTGCAAGTGGTTTGTATCCAATTGGAGGAGGCAAGATTATATTAAATTTCCACTGTAGATAACTAGATCTTCCAAAAATATACAATATAACGTTCAGTATCTACTCAACATTTCGAGCAGCAAGACTTGTTTATCCGTATTTAGTGTATAGGACAATTTAGTCCTCTGCAGTTGTAAAGCCTTTTGGCTAAATAAAAATTTATATTTTTATACCCTCCATTATAGTATGGAGGGTAGATTAATTTTGTCATTCCGTTTGTAACTCATCGAAATATTCATTTCCGACACTATAAAGTATATATATTCTTGATCAGGGTAAAATTCTAAGACGATCTAGCCATGTCCGTCCGTCTGTCCGTCCGTCCGTCTGTCCGTTGTAATCACGCTATCTTCTGAAGGTATTGAGATAGATTGCTGAAATTTTGCATAGGTTCGCCTTTGTCTGCAGGCAGGTCAAGTTCGAAGATGGGATATATCGGTCCACGTTTAGGCATAGCTCCCATATAACGGTACCCCAAAATTGTTGGTATTTTGCGGTTCTTGAGCGCGTTTTTTTCAGCCAAATACGCTGAAATTTTTTACATTGAATTCTTATTGGGTACTAAATATCTCCACAAAAAATTGTAAATATAGGTCCACTTCTTCTAGTAGCCCCCATATAACGGTACCTCCTAATTTTCAGTTTTTTTGGGGTTTTAATAGTATTTTTCCACCGAATTGGCTGTAATTTAGTATTTTGAGTTCTTAATATGTACCAAATCTCTCCACAAAAAATTATAAATATAGGTACATTTTTCGTAAAGCCCCCATATAAAGGTACCCCCAATTTTCGGTATTTTGGGGGTACCTTTCGCTGCAATTTGGTATTTTGTAGTCGTATAAGGTAACAAATCCCCTTAACAAAAATTTTTAATATTTGCCCTCTTTTTGGGGTCGTCCTCATATAACCCCCTTTTTTTATTAAAATAGTTATGATTTTTTCCGTGTTTGGGTTTGGTTCTAAGACTCTCTTGTAATCATTTCATCCGCGGAAGATACGAAAAAACTAGAACATAAGGTTCTATAATTTACCTTATATATATTCATATATATGAACTGTAACCCGCATTTAGGCCTAGCCCCTGTGTGGGAGGTACCAGGAGGAGTGGACCGGTATAGGTACACTTTTTGGTATGTTCTCTATATTTTTATTTCAAGTTCCTGTCAGTATATCTATGGTGAAGGGTATCCAAAGTTCGGCCCGGCCGAACTTAACTCTTTTTCACTTGTTATATATATATATATATTTTTTACGAAAGTTCAATTATATATCAATTGATAGTCTAATACTGTAAAACTTGTCTTGCTACATTTAACAACAATATATAGTATCCTAGTAATATTATAATTCGAGTGTATGCATCATTATTCGTAGGTCTTATATCACTATGTATATATACACAAGGAAATTATATATTCCGTAAATTCAATTTTCTATTTTTTTAACCATCTTAAAATCAGCTTAATATCACTTGTTAACTGTTATATAATATAATATTAGACAAAAGGATTCCGTTGAATGCCACTAAATCTTTATACGCATCCGTTTTGCACCATGGACATATCGCAATGCAATTAATGGAAAATAATTTCAAATTAGTTCTGAATGGCATTATTATTATTCACTTACCTGCTCTTGGTGTTAGTGACGCTTTGTCCAATTAGTTTTTGTTAATAATAAATGGTAAGGGGTTTGGGATATTTTGCATTTCAATATAAAAGCTTTACTAATTAAGTGACCTACATTTAAAACCACACCAGATAAACAAATATATAAAATGTACAAACAAAAATAAAATAAAAGCCCAAAAAGGCAAGTCACAAATAATAATAATAATAAACAACAAAATGATAAATGCCAACACAACACAACAAATGAAGAAATCTCCCGTCATAAAAATAAAAATGAAATAAACAAAACAACAAACCTTTCTTGCGCCTTTGATGAACGAAAAACCAGCCCACTAAGGCGGCATTCACCAAAAGGAAGCCAAAAGCTGCCAACGAAATGCCAATTATAACCAGATTTGGCGCATTTGAATTTTCGGTTAATTCAGCTGGTAGCAATTCGAGACCTTCTTCAGGGATTTCCATAATACCGGTTAGTGGTGCACCCACGAGTGCCCCCAAAGTCAGTCGGGTCGTCACACACACACACAGACACATCAAATGTAGGGATGAATGGTTGATGGTGGATGATGGTTGATGGATAATAGGTATTTGGGGAGGAGACAAGATAATAAAAATGAAAGAAATAAAAAAGATGAAAAACAGAGAACATAAAATACAAGAAAATCAAATATAATGTTAAATAAAATTGGGGTAAATTCAATGATAGACAACACCAAGGAGCACAGGCGAAAAATATGCTTGCCCTTCAAGTGATGTGTAAATTTGTACGTCGAAGGTAATGAAGTAATTCATTGAGGACACTAAAAATTATAAGATTTTCAAATCGAAATACATTTTTCTATTCGATCTAAATTATTAGCCGTAGCTGTAGACATGTTGGCATCTACAACAGACGACGATTGCAGCGAAGATTACTCCCTAGGCCAACATTTCATTCGTATCGTCAACCAAAGTAAACAACGTCAAAAATAATAACAAACGAAAAACACATATTTACCAATAAAAAAGAGAATACGACGGAAACAAACCAAAGTAAATAAAATAACAAGGATTACAACAAAATGAAATGTCGTCTGTTAAAAGGAAGACACAACACAAGCTGGGAGATTTCAAATGAAAATAGCTCGCCAAACAAACGGAAGGAAATAATGCAGACAACAAATTTTTTATGGTGGAAACTCATGTATATATGTATGCATGGGCCGAATATACGTTAACAGAAAATACGTTGTACATATGGACATGCTGATATGTACACACACTTATGCCAATGCAAACATAAAAATACACATACACAAATGTCTATGCTTGCATAGATTAATGACAAATATAGAGAGACATTTAGGGCGTTTTACAGTACCTCGTTTGAGACGCTTCTGATTGCGTTTGTGCAGGCAACAACCTATGATGAGGATATTCAGAGCCACAATTGTTATACCAGATGCTACACCGACCAGCAACAGAAGGCCGGAGGTGCCACCCAGCGGAGTGGCACTGGTGGTGGGTGGACCGCCTAATGAAGAAGCTGGCTGCGATGGTGGCGGTGCTTCTGGGGCGTTATTAAAAATTCACCAGAGTAACGTAACCCCAACACAAATGCAGCAAAAAACGACAAAAATTAAAAAAAATAAATGATATACTCGGTTATAAACACATCTGGATATAGAAATGTATGCTCACACGCACGCACATGTATGTACATAGTTTCGCTGCTATGCATATATGCACGTGTTTGTGTGAATGGGTGAGAACTTATGAATGGCTTTAGAGAGCAACAGGACATAGGTCTATCTATTAAATGAGTTCCCATCTACAAAGGATAACGAGCTGAATAGTTTAGATCCATGGCACCTACCAAAGCATTAGGAATGAAGGAAGTTCATAAAATGCAGATGACGCGGACAATAAATCAATATTGTAATACTCTCTCTTACTTCGTAAGTAAAACTCAGTGTTTCTGTTGGCTGACATAGCCAATTTGTGCAGTTTGCCTTCTCGAAACCCAACCGGTGCATAACACGATTCATGTTGCCTATGGTGATTTCATTTCAGCGTGTACTGGACTTACCTTTGGTGTGGGCCTTTTGTAGGTCAGGCAAGTATTTGCTCTCGCCTAAATCATTATACGCCATTACCGAGAATAGATACAAGGTATTCATACGAAGTCCGTTTATGGTGAGCTTGTGACTATTAGGTAGGCCATCAATGTACTTGTATTGTTCTCGGTTCGCCTCTCTGTGTAAAGGTTGTCATCAGTGTGATTGTCAATATACGGAACAAAGAGGGAAGAAATTAAATGAGAAATATTTGGAAGATCAGTTTCAGTTGGAAGTAATATTGTACAGTAAACTCTAGATAATCCGGACAATTGATGACATACCCCAATCCGGGTTCCCAACTTTTCTAGATTATCAAGGTTTTTAAATTGGTCTATTTTTTTATTAATTTAGTGTTAATTTAAAAAGGTTTATATTTTTTTTTTAAAAAGTTTAATTTATTCATTGCAAAAATATGAATTTTAAATATAATAGGTATAATTTTCACTAAAATTTGCTACAATTTCAATGAAAAACTCATCAAAAATAATGAATCTCCAAAATCCGAATTTTACTATAAAGTTTTTTTTTTAATGCTGGAAACCCTAGTTGTATTCCCGCAGATATATTCCCATACGTCTTCTTTTTCATATAATCTTCGTCATTTCAAAAAAAAAAAAAAAAAAATCCAAACTGTATTACACTTACCGATAACGAACTCTGTACGACGCCTTTAGACCACCATCGAAGCCCGGCGTCCATGCCACCGTTACAGAATCATGGGTAACATTCAAGATATTTAAGCTTAACGGTGTATCGGGTTGCGAAGTTATGTCCAATCTTACTGGTTCAATGTCCTGGCCTAATTCGTTCTTCGCTACACATTCATAAGCTCCATAATCGGCCGGAGCCACCTTATCAATTATCAATATTGACTCATATGTCAGTGAATCGATTTTCTTCTCTTCCACTTCGTACTTGTAGGTACGGTTCAGTGGCAAATCTTTTCCATCTTGGCGCCAAATGAATTTCGGCCTCGGCGAGGCTTGAGCACGACATGGCAAACGCCCACGTTCTCCAGTGCCGCTGGCAGCTCTCATAAGTGTAGGAGATTTGTCTATTTCCGGAGCAACTGTAAATACACACAGACATACACGATTGATGATGAAATGTAAATATGTCACAGATTTTCTGTTGTTGCTGCTGCTGTTGTCTTCTTCACTTACATTTGACTATCAGCAGTACATCGCGACTTGTGGGATTGGCAACACGATTATCGGCTATGCAACGGAAATTACCAACATCTTCTCGTTGAGCATCTTTGATGTGCAGATACGAGGTGCCATTTGCAAAGGTGGTCGACGTTTTTATAGTCATGTCATAACCCAAACGCTCCCACTTAACGTGATCTTCGGTCAGAGGTTTGCCCTCCACCGAACACGACAACATTGCATCTTCTCCGGGATTTACTATGACATTCTCCGACACACTTCTGATAGTGGTGCCATCTGCGAAATAAAATAAAACAGCCATGGAGATTTGTGTACCCAGTACGAGATAGTTGGGGTACTTACATTCCACCACAACAGTGACATTGATACGCGCTGAACCCTGCGAATTGCGTGCCTCACAAACATAAACGCCGGCATCGTTGCGGTGCAATTTGGTAAAATTCAGTTTAGGCCCTTCGGCGAAAATACGAGACTCAGCAGCGTTACCATTGGCGGGCAGCGGTTGACCATCCTTCGACCAGGTGTACGTAATTGACATAGGATTGGCATTAGCCTGCAGGGCAACCAGCAAGGATTCTCCCTCGACGCCCACGGCTGTTGAGGACGGCGGTGGCACAAATTTGGGTCGATCTAAATTTGACAGAAAGGTGTGTGTCGAAAAAAAACAGACGTTAAACAAAATGACCATTGCCTCTTCCTGCCTTGGATCAGGCTGGATGGAAGAGAGCATCACCCCACTACCCATCCCCTCTACTTACACAGCACATCCAAACTAATGGCTTCATGTACACTGCGCTGGAGTGCTTCGTTGGCACTTTGACATGTGTACACTACGCCGTTCATTTCCTGTGTGATGTTTACTTTGAATTCCAACGTCGAGACGGTGCCACCCCACAGACCGGGTTTAGATGTATTATTTATACCTATGGGAGGCCGGCCATGCCACAAGGCCACAGGGGAAATACAAAAAGTAAAAAGCATGTTAACGGTGATTGCCACATGAAAATAATACAGACGATGGATGAACTGGAGTGCACTGTGGTCTAAGCGGAGCGTAGGCATGGACGCAAGGAGACATTATAGTTTGCAAGCCGGAAGTTTGCGTAAGTACATATTTCACATTTTTGCAGTCAACTTGCAAAATGCAGCAAACATCCTCTTCGGCAAGACTGTGATCCTTGCACAAACATCCGAATGCAGAGAAGTCAAATGGACGAGCTAAAGGAATGTTGTTAGCCTCTGTAAGCCAAATGTGATTGCGAATAGATACAGATATTTCAGAACCACACAAACAAAACACGTTTAGGTTTATGCCTTTGCCGACATAGTATCCAACGTCGGTCGGCCGTCCGGCCAACTAACCAACCAACCGACCAGCATTGAGACAGGCACCAACAGGCAGCAGCCAACCTACATGTTCGGCCGGCGCCATTCCGTGCAACACTGGAAAAGTCTAGTGAGCATCATTAGGTTCCAGTACTGACTGTCAGCCAGCCTGTCTGACTGACTACCCGACCGACTGGCTGGTTGGTTGGGTAAATAGATGGTAGCGACGGTATACTCAACTCGTGTGGCATGTGGCCACACCACTGGTTTTTCTGTTGGTGTGCTTCTTTTGACAACAATGACAATCCTTTGAACATCCCAATAATTTGGGCACTTTTCCAGCTTAACAACAAACCTTGCTTGTCTGCTTGCTCTGAGGTTTTTGACTTCTTTAACAATTTGCTGGCTCCATTCTATTACTGGGCCATCCATCCATCCCACCGAGCCGCACCACAAACGCCTCTTCACAATGAACTACACCTAAAACAATCAAGCACCTAACTCACTCACCCTTTATGGCAATGCCGTCCCTCCACCAAGATAACTTTGCAGGTGGATTACTTGAACTAGAATCGCACACAATGGTCGCCTCAATGCCTGGTTTCAATTCTTCCGGTTCGATGCGTATCTTAACTGTTTCTGGAGCAACTGTAATTGTTCGTGTTTGTCAAAGACACACAATAAAAATTAATACTCATTCAAATTATGGTACCCCACCACCACTCGGCTGGAGGGAGGGATTCTTGGAATTCATCTCCACAAATGCGAACAATACTTACAGTGTACACTAAGTGTGGTTGACTCGAAGAGGGGTATCTCTGTGGCGCTATTGGCTGCTTCACAGCGATATTGTGCCTGATTATCCGTTACGTTTGCCAGAATTGTAATTTCGGCCGAGACCGACTTGTCGGCAGTGCGTATCACGGAGTTTATCTGGAATTATAAAAAGAAAACGCATAAATTTCAAGCGAATAATTCTTACGGTCGGACAATTTGGCAAATGATTAAAGTGTAGTTTTTAGTTTGTCACGACATTCAACTAAACGCAGTGCAATGTTTACCAAATCTGTGACTTGTGAGTGTGTTTGGAATTTTGTTTATTATTATTTCTTTTTTATGTGCGTTTGTTTAAAAAGAAGGGATAATTTGAGAAAAAAAGAACTACAACAAATTGTATCAACTTTATATTTATACCCTCAGCATCCTTAGGTTCTTTTGTACCAAATCCCTTTCAAACTATTTTGAGTCGCCTCAGGTTAGTTAGTTCGTCTGGCTGTTGCGCGATATAACTCTCCAAAGGATTAAAACAATGACAATAGGTGGCAATCAGTCTACTCTTTCTGGTACTTTCCTCACAAAATGGTCCAACCTTTGCCTATACATAGTATTCGATCGGTAACCCCTTCTAGATAATAACCCACAGTGTCCAAATTTTTGGATTTTAATAACGAAACCTCAAACATTTTTCTGTATTAAGTGGGCCGGCATGAAAACTTGTCACTTAATTTCTATACTAAGTTATTTTGAATATAGTGCCTACATATTAAAAAGGACCATTATTAATTGTCAATACCAGATATCTGCTTTCAAATTTGCGAATACTGCATCTTTACAATACAAATTGATGTCAAATATAGACTGATTATCACAAAATTATTTATGGGTTTCTATACATTGTCATAGTATCCATTAATTGTTTAGGATTTCAAAAGTTGCGGATAATTCCATACAATGAATAGTATTTCCTATATTTATGGTCAGGTATTGGAGACATTCCTAAGTTTTACACCACATGATAGCCAATAGTTTGAAACAGATAAATACTTGAGAAATTTCTAATTTCAGGAAGGTAGCAATCTGTACTGGCTGGTTCCAGAACGAACCAAGAACCTGCTGATTACAGTTAGTTGAACAGACGAGTAGATGGTCTGAGTATCCATCTTCTACGTATCAGTTTAAATGGTAACTGATTCATAATTCCTTAGAGGTCGGAGGCAATTAAAATTGGGATAAACGACATACCAAATAAATACAAACTTGGCAATATTCTAATACATGAATTCTGCTTTACATACAGAATAACCAAACGAACAAATCTTGGAAATGACTTTATGCTCTTCTATATTCATATACGTTAAAACAACAATAATTTACTCGACATTACAAACTTGAGATCTTGTTAGATTAATTACAATGCAATAGTTTTATTTTCCAACAATCAAATTTAAAACATTTCATCGTATTGAATGATCTAGGTGTTATTATGTTGCAAATATATGGAGCACAACATTTGATGACATGACTCATTACAATTACCATTCGGTAGCATACATAGCACTTAGCTCATCTGAAATTTGATTTAAAATATTCTGCTTTCAACAATGGCCCATTAAAATTCCCCTCCAGCTATCCGGTTGTATTATCATTATCCTGATGTCACCGTAATTGTTTGAATTTCCATAAGACCACAAACTAACGGCTGTGCAAAGCACAAACTTCATTGAAAATACAACCATAGTAAGATATTAATAGTGAGTAAGTGTTGGTGAGCACAAGTACAAGAATGTATGTCTATACACATGTTTACCAATGTCATTAACAAAGATAAGAATTTCAATAAAACCTTCGGTATAAATATTATGAAAACTCAAATTCTCTAACCAGGTAGGAACTATATTCGGAGAGTATGGAGGCCTCATCACCCATTCCGTCCAACAGAGACACACACACGCGTGTACTATTGTTATGTAGCTACTTCGGCATCTGGATTTCAGCTATAAAACCGTATACACACACACACAAACCATACTATATTTCCATTGTATCCTATGGGAATGGACTTATGTATAGATCGGTATAAAGAGAGTTTAGAAACTATCTAAATTATGCCAAAGTTTTGTTAGGGTACTCTAAGAATGTTTATACAAAGCTTAATATGTTTAGAAACATATGTAAGTATAGAATGAGCGTGTCAGTGTGGGCATGAGTGTATGTGTGTGTGTGGAAATCTGTAATAAAACGGCAACTAAATATATGAATGAATATGTATTGCTAGAGTTATATATTAAATGTACATATATAGTATGTGTATGTCACATTCTCTACTAAATAAACAAACTATGTGATCTTTAAGTATGTATGTGTGTGTGTATGTAGAGAATATAAGTAAGACATAAAAATGTGAAACTAAAAGCCGTAAAGCCAAGATATACACACCAATAGGTGGTTAAGTATGCTCCGGCAAAGGTACGTATTTATAAGCGTATGTGTTGTATATGTGTTAATGTGTGCTAATGGTTTATTTAAATGTTTGTAGATACATTTGTTTAATAAAATATTTGAATAGATATTCTATTTGGTTTAATGTTTTTCCTTGACTATTTGTATATTGGAATTGCATTTGTTTCGGCTTTAGTGATATTTCTAGTTTTATGTCAAAGTTGTCTTGTTTCGTTAAAATCGAATTAAACTTATAACCTAACCCACCGGATTAATACTAAATTTTATGATGTGGTGTTTCATTCTATTATTTAAAAAAATGCATATTTTCGAAATTTAAAAAGGCATGTATGCATGAGTCTGCTTTACAAATGTCAATACTAAAAAATTCAATAGCAACAATTTAAACATAATGATATATAAAAAATTATGTATTGTGTCATTTAAATGGATTATGAATTGAGAAATGAATGGTATTGCTAGATCTGATTTAAATAAATATATTGTAAGGAATATATCTAAATAATTGGGCTTAAAGAAGTTTTAATTCCTAGCACTCCTAGTTCAAGAGTACCACTTTATTAATATCCATTGTTTATAAGTATCGCATATAGAAAGCTCATCTCTTATGGATGTTAACATACTTATGTATAGCATTACTGAAGTATGCACAAACGTGGATACATACATCTTATACGTCTTTAACTTAAAGATAGGTTTCAACTTGAACTTAATTGAAAGTCATGTTAGGGTTCTACATTTTTATGCGACATGTCTTACGATTCTTATTATTTTTATTAGATGTGGTTACTTGTCATCCATATCAGTAATGGTTGCATATATGCTGCATGGAGTGGGTAACAAACATATACACTGTCGCTTGGACTGCAATGTAACTAGACAAGTGTCGAAACGCCCACATATTTGCATCATCGTAGCTAAGTAAACTGCGTACACTTTGCAAAACAGCAACAATTGAAGAGTGTAACCACAATTTAAAGGTGGCAAGATTGCCAGCCGAGTCAAGTGCCAGCAAAATGGAGGTGTGTGCGTGTGTGTGGAAACAGCATCTTTTCCATTGGGCAATCTGGTAAATGCATGCCATAATAGTTACTTAAAATTGGCGTTTTATCACTTTATCATGCAAACAAAGAACGCTTTAATTGTGTATTTAAAAAATCATTAGACTCTTATTACTTGCGCGGGGGAGTAAAGTGGCATGGATGTGGGCTCCCTCGTTCCCGGCTTTTGCCATGACATGGATGATGTGTGACACAGTGTGTCCTTGCTAGGGGTAAAAATGAAGCAGTAAAAACCACAGGTTAAGTACAGCTGTTGTGACCAAAGTTTTTCATTATGGCAATTTTATGTTGTAGCATAAAATTACGAGGCATTGGCATCGTTTGCCATTCTCACCCACATGTAAATGGACCTTGTGCCGAAGAGGGAGACTCGTTTTAAGGCATTTATCATAAAAAAGGCACCGAGTAATACTTTATGCAGTAGTTGTTTTTATAATCCCGGGGAAGGGATCAATGGGTGTTTTATTTATATTTTTTTATTTCTTCCATTTGGAAGATGAATATTTTTTAATTTGCCACACACAACTGAGAGTTTACTTAAGAGTTATATTTTATGTTTATGGCAGCAACAAAACAAAAATATGAATTAAATGTGTATTAGTTCCACTTTAATGGGAATGGCCCTTTGGTATGAGAATGGCCAAAACTACGTGTTTATCGTTGCTTTTGTTGTTTTGTACAAAGTAGTAAAACTTACCCTTTTGTCGTTTTTGTACCAGGTTAGGGTGGCCAATGGATTGCCACCAGATGAAACACATAGAAGTTTTTGCACCGAGCCAGCTGGAATAATTTGACCTTCCATATAACCAGATATTATGGGTGGTGATGGTGGATCTGTAATTAATTACAAAAAGAAATTTTAAATATTTGTTTTAAGAAAATGTATAATGAAATGTGTCAAATGTATATATTTTTATATATTTTCTTAAATATATTATATATTTTCTTAAATTGTTTAAATACATTTTAGTTGTAATTACATTGAATATAACAATTTCTTTTTTTTAAATCTCCGTTTATGTATAACACATATGCAAGTTAATAGGTAAAAAACGACGTTAAAACAAAAAGGAATACTACACTTACTATACATACATATAAAATAAAAGAGTAATATTTCCAATATGTATTCCAAATCTCTTTTTTACACTCTATATCTATGAAATTTTTAATTTACATTTTGTTCTTTTAATTTTTCGGTTTGTCCTCACAATTTTATGGAGGTACAATAATATCTTACACAGTAACAGTTTTCGAGCTCTCACTCACTGTGATTACACGAAAAGGTTTCAACCGTCCATTAAAGTCGGACAGACAACAAGCCTTGGCCGAAATTTGAAAGCGGATTTGTAAAGACAGCACCAGCATACAACAACTTTAACCAAAAAAATATTTTTATTAATAAGAATGGGCCGACCGATTTTACCTACGCTTCAAATAAAGCATTTCGTTGAAAGCTCGCTGTTATGGAAACGTTTACACTCAGCCATCTTAATAAGAATAACGATACACTAATACAGAGAGAGTAAAAAATACCAGATGGAGCATATCAAAAGAGTCTTACAGTGATTAAAAGGGATTCAAGCTTATTATCTCGTATTTTTCATACACCAGGCCTGTCATCAACACTTACACCAACCGAATTAACCTATAATGTGTTCATGTGCACTATACTCGTATATACACACCTCCATTTACGAGACCATGCAAATAGACATAACTCGTGAACGACGAGAACGGCAGAAATAAAAAATGAAAATAAAGCACCTGATGTTTTCGTTAAGACGGCGAGGCGCCGAAATGGGCGAGACTGATGATGCCCAAAAATTATAATTTTAATTAGTGCTCTTGTTACGTTGAATGGATATACTAACACCCAGCAAAAACGGCAGGGCCGTAACTTTTGAATATGATTCACCTTCAAAGCCAGTCATAAAAGACTCGTATCCTTTACAGCTTATCTATTTATAATCATCAAGTCTATAACAATAAGTTTTATTTTCATGCTTCAATTGTTCACACCAATTATCCTTAGAATTACGCTCAAACACACACACACACACACACACTTTCTCATTTAATTCATCAAGAAAAGTAATGTTTTCGGGGAATGAAATGAAAACAAAGAGGCATTAAGGGGAAAAATAAGCACTTCAATAAAATCTTTACTTAGTACGACAATAACATTTAGAAGATTCGAGTGTATGTTATAAACGTTCTATATATAAATTTAAATTGATGTAATGAAAAAATTGCCGTAAAAGTTTCCAACTTTAATTCTACATGCTCAAATATATATACATAACACTATAAACAAATAGTATTCTATAGAGGATTCCAACATGAGGTGTTATGTTGAAATACCCGGCATTGCAGTAGCTGTCACTTTTATTCCCTAACGTTACCAACAAAACTGGCAAGAAAATAGAAAATACAACAATATAATAGTATTTGGAGAATTTTGGTCACTCCCAAAAAACGATCAATATTGGCCTACGTTTCGGGGTATCCCTGTTACAATACTCGTTTATTATAATAAAAGTTTATTTAGTTTCCGTCTATTCCAATCAGGCAAACATCTGAAAAGCAGGATAATTTCAAATATGGATGTAGCCCCAATATATTGATATCTCCGATTTTAGATGTATAAGGTTTCGATATTTTAGAAAAAGTTCCCAACAATGTTGCTGCAATTTTCGAACCACTTATTTCTTAAATACATATCCGGCCCGTTTTTCATTACATGGAAAGTTTTAAGCACACTTCCCAAAATCATTTGCTTTATTATAATTCCAGGGTTGGAAACTTATTTTCAAATTACGGTCCGTATACACATGGTGGGGTATGAATATTTTTCCCCTACCGAACTTAACTCCTTTTTAATTTGTTATTAATGCAATCCAATTTATAGTGATTGTTGATGATGTAATAAACCCGAAAATATGTCTGAGTAAGTGAGCGAAGTAATATTAAAGTATTCCTTGTGTACTCTTGCCGACCTTATATCGCACAAAGTTGAGTATTTGATAGAGTACCATTCCCCACAGATAGCCCACACAGTCATTACCTTTATCAAAGTCAATGACATTGTTTAAAGCAACATTCTACATTTGTCCAATGCCAACGACCATTAACATCCGTACGTATTTATCAACAACATGTGATGTGAGTGTGGGTTGGTGTGCGTAACTTCAGTGTCCTGCTGTATCGCCGACATGCACATACCGACCAACAGAGTCAAAGTCCCCGCGTATTACATGTTCCAAATGTGTATTTGCAACAAATGAAGACTGACACGAAACAGGATAATTCAGTTAAACGCGTTTGCCATGTACAGCTCTGTGCAATTGTCAACTATCTTATCAGATCTGTGTCCGTGTCTGTGCCCACATCCGTATCTCGTAGTTGATAGAATTTCAAAATGTTTGTATTCCTTGTAGTGCGCGCGTGTGTGTATAGGTGTATGCACGAATGAATTGTTACAGTATTCCATCAATCAATTATAGCGAGTTAACCACATTCGTTGAATGTCTCGTAAAAAAATGTCAATGTTTTTGTGTTAGATTGGATTACATAAAAAAAGTGATGGAGTCAATAAATTTTTTTTCAATGGCTGTTGATTTTTTAAAAATGGAGGTACAAAAAAATTCTATATATCCTAAAAACGCAACCCTACCAGGCGAGAGATATGGTACTCATGAACAAAATTCAGTTTTTGACGATTCTGTGGAAAAATTAATAATCATTTTCTTTTTCTTGGCCATGTGGTGCTATAGCGTTTTTCAACAGTACCTGTTTTCAGTACTTTGAAAACGAAGAATCACTTTCTGAGTAGATTTATACATGTATTAAAAATTATAAAAATAATTGGTCCACAGACGAACTCTTTTGAAAGTTATAAGAATCGGGACTGAAATGATGATGTTCCCCAGACCTATTATTTCCAAATTTACAGACAACTATTTGGAATGTTATACTGACTGGAATGGCGTATGTCAAATTTGATTTGAATGGTTCAGAAAATATTCAGATAATCAAATATACCTTCTTAGCAGCCAATGTCCGTTTCTCATGTCAGATTCGAATCACTGAAATAGAATCCATCTATTTGAATATGAAAGTCCCCAGAAGACGTGTCATACAGTGAAATTAATGGCGAGTATTGTGTACGTAAATATGAAATTATAAATTGTAATTGGACTATTTGAAATCCATTAACGCAAATTTAAAAAAAAAATACTCATTAAATTTTGTAAATAATATCAAGTATCTAACTAAAAAGTGTTGCATTACACACACAGATTTGGGTATTCCATTAAGTTTATGTTTATTTTTGAAAGGTAGTAGTAGTGGGTGCTTTGAAATTAAAATTTGTCTGTGTTGTCTTTGTTGTTTGCTCCCGGTAGATGTATTTTACTCATCATTTTCAGGTCACAAAAAACACGAAACATTTAACGATGTTACAGCCCCCTCTGCTACACTGGTTTTCCGTCTCATATGACACAGAAATAATGCCATGACTTGGTTGGTAGGTTTCTTTGTTTTTCGATTTTAATTGATGCCCCATATCGGGCGTTTTAAATACAATTCACTCAACCATTTGACGATATGACTTTTCGTTTTGCTTCGCACTTCCCCAGTAAAACTTTGACTGACACTGAGCAGACAGATCATCATCGTCATCACTGCCGCAGCCACAATTGAAATGTGTACAAGCGGAGGAAGTACTTTTAGCTTTCAGTGATTATCCCGCTATACTGCTGGCTCATTCGTGCCACACTCCGTGTGGTGATATGTAGTACATTGCAGTTGCTGCAACAGACGGACGTTATGATAGGTAGGTGTATATTGTTTGTAACACTTTCTTGTTGTGCTGTCCTACATATACCGGCATAATCAAACCCACACACACACTCTCACACATACATATACGCAAATACCCAAAATACAAAGAACAAATACATGTATGCCAACAACCTTTGTGGATGCATTCAGCTGAGAATGTGTTTGTGTATCCTGACTACGTTGTTTTAGTATTTCAATAGTTACAGTGTGTATTTTGTGGCCGATATTGTAGGACATTTATGAGAAGCACACAGAAACACTTTTTAGTTACAGTTTTTTTTCCATTGTGAAGTAGGGGGAAATTGTAAAAAACTCTTTTCCGTTCTCACCAGAACAAACATCAACCATATCGTCACAAATGCTATGGTCCAAACGTTTTAAGTATACAGTTACAGTAGGCGGCTAGGAAGATTTGGAAGACAAGTGGTTCAAAGCAAAGTATTTAAGGATGTTGATAAATTATCAATATAATATAGTCGAATATCAATGATATAATTTACACAAACATCATTGACTTTCAAATAATAACCAGTAATCGCTTGAAATAGTACACTTTGTATGTTCCTTCCTATTGTACTTAGCATAGGACTTGTACATAACTGTCATAATATTAAAGACATATATTGTCTATATTGTTATCTAAGCAAATGAATTTGAGAGTAGATATGTGTTATTTTCTGTATTGGTAAGAGATATGTAAACAGAACCATTCCATTTAAGCTTCAACCACATACATTTTAAGTAAACATTGCATGGATATTCATCCGTCCATCCATTGAATGCAGAGCAATCTACACACTAATACCACGACAACACACAAAAATACCAACAACAAACTGATGCGTGCGTGAAGAAATTCTCACATATACAACTGTATGGACAGATGTTTGTGTATGTAAAAGAAAGCGTGTCTGTGGCAAGTAAGGTGAGTTGCAAATGATGCTGTGCAAAAAACAAAAGACATAGACGAAGAAAAAACATTCGGGAGC